TTTTTTTTTTTTTTTTTTTTTTTCTAATATATATATGTATTTTTGGAAGTTGTCAGTGAAGGTGAGCCTCAAATCTCTGCTGACTGTTCAGCAAGCGATGGAGAAACCCCTGCAATATTGCAGAGCAGAAAGTGGAGGATGGAGATTTTATTCCCCTGCCCCCATTCTGGGAAAGCTGCACATTTTTTTGTGGCTCAGAGTCTGTGATTTCAGTGGGGCAGTTTTGCAGGCTCCTGTTTTCCACCTTCTCCTCGGGACACCCTCCCCAGTGCCTACGTTGAAGTTCTGCTCCGAGCTGGAGTTGGTTTTTGCCCTGCAAAGGTGCATTTGCTGGGTTTGGGCTGAGCTCTGGTCCTGCTGGGACCCGCTGGCGGCTCTGGGACGCTGGCTTTGGTGCCGGTGGGACATGGGCGGCTGAGTGATCCCTTCCAGCCAGGGAGGAATCTGGGGCAGCATCTTCCCAGGGCAGCAGGTTCAGGAGGATGAGTGGCCCATGGGCTGGGAGCAGCTTTGTTGCCCACGGGCTGGGCTCTGCAGAGGGGTTTGGGTGTTCGTGGGGATTTTTTTTAGTTCTGCTGCAGGCAAGGAAGGAATCCCGATGCAGGAGCTGCATTGCTGTGGGGGGCTGCTGCTCCGGGGGCATCCGCTGGCTCTGCTCTGGTGCTCCACGGAGGAGATGGGCAGGGGGGGAAATCTGCGGATGGGAAATAGTGGAGCTCACAAAAACCTCCCCCTGCGGCAGGGGGTCGTAACGATGGGGCGATTCGTGTCCTCCTCAGTGCGGTGTGTGCTCGTTAGCGCTGCAGCAAAGCCAAGCCCTCCGTGGATGGATTGCCTTTTCTCTTTTAGTTCCACTTAATGGCTGTGAAGGGAGGCTTGGCCTGAGCTGCTCCATTTGCAAGCGGTATCTCCCGAGTGATGCCATCCACGGACCCACGAGGTGCACCCTCTGCTCTTGGGGACCATCCCGAGAGCGGTCCAGGTGTGACAGTGACTCACAGCATTGTCACAGCATCCCCCAGCACCAGGCTGCGCAGGGATGAGCGGCTGCCCAGGAGGACGGACGCCACTCTGTCCATGGTGTGCACCCTCTGTGTAAAAGCACTGGGTTTTTTTCCCCAGAAGAGATGATGGGATGGATCCATCCATCCCTGCGCTGTGGATGATGCTGGTCAGCATCAGCTCAGGCTTTGCTGTCCAGTCCCTGTCCCCATGCAGTGAGTAGGGGTGGTGGATGGAGGGGTAAAACATCCCCAGAAAAATGAGGGTAAAACAGCACTCAGGCTCTGAATTTTTTTAGTTGAATTTTGTATTCTCAAATTGATTGAGAAACATCAATTTATTTCTCAATCAAAGCTGTCAGTTTTGCTGGAAGGAGAAGGGTTTGAAGAGGTCCCTTTCTTGGTGGATCTTTTGGAGATGAGTAGATGTGTTCAGGTCTCACTGCCCCATCCTCCTTCCATGCCTCTCCTGGTTTCATTTTGCAAGATCTTTAGGAAACAAAAACAAAAAAGAAGGAGTGTTGATCCAGAGGGAATGTGGTCTGGGGGAGGACAGCGAAACGTGCTGGGTTTTGCGGAGAAAGTTTCCTAGTCTGTAGATTTTTATTTATTTATTTTTTCTCTGAAATGGAAACATCCTCTTCCCTCCCAGCTCTGAAGCCTCATAATTAATGTGAGGTCGGGTATCTCATTAATTACATCCGTGCCGAGCGCGGCTGCATTGCCCTCCTGGGAGGGTGGTGGTTGGTTGTAGGCTCCTGCGTCTCGTGCGCAATATCAGGACGGTGACTGAAGTGACATTCCTGTTCCTCTCCCTGCTCCCGCTCCTCGTAATGCTGAAAATAAAGCCCTGCCTGGTGTGATTTTCTGCTTTTTGGCATTTTTTTTTTTTTCCCCCCCTCTACAGCCTGGCTGAAAGCACCAGGTTGCCTTCGTCAGCATCGCTGCTATCCGAGAGCGCAGGCAGACGAGCGAAGTGATTGACTCTCCCGGCGTGCCGCGTCGGGGCTTATCGGCGGAGCACCGGTGTGCCTCAACTCGCTCCGCGTGTCCCCCGGTCCCCTCGGCAGCCAGCGATGACCGACGCGGGGGTGGGCGGCCGCTCTGACCGGTGGATGTGCCCCAGCGACAGGACCATGTCTCTCCGTGCCAGGTGAGAGGAGGGGGCCAGGGGATGCTGCTGGTGCGGGAGGGAGGGGAGTCCCCGGCGGGGTGGGAGGCGATGCGGGTGCAGCCGCCCTGCTCCTTCCTCTGGGGATGTTGGAAACTGGGTTTGCGCTGGTTGGATGTCGTGTTGCCTCCTAAACCTCCCGAGAAAGGTGGTGAGGACAGACCCACGGGTGTGCACGCACCCAGGTGCCGATGAGGAGCCCTGTCCGTCTGTCCTGACGCCCTCCGACGT